CAAAATGGCAAACAATAGCGCTGATTGCTGGTGCTGTTTAGTAGTACACCATGTTCAAGGTGAACCTAAAAAGATGCCTCAGTGGATGGAAGTACCAGGTACCAAAAAGGAAGGTCCCAGAATCAATAGAGGAGGATGCCAAAGAGCTGAGTTTGGGAAACTAACCTGTGAAGCACCTCATTGCTCAAGTAGGAAGGACAAGAGCATGGCTGGCAGGTAGGTGCTGTGCTGTTTAAATGTGTAAAACACCATAGTTGCCTCTATTCCTTCCGTATCATGTGAAACCCCAGCAAACTAAAATTTTTCTATAACCTGGAAACTATATTTATTTAGTTATGAAATTAGAGAGTGGAGTATTAGATGATCTCTGACGTCTTCCAGAATTCAAACATTCTGCATCTCTAAAATTTTGGTTCCTCAGGACTAACTTCAAAGCAGTCATTTTGCTTAAAAATGTTAGGTTAGCCAACAGAGGGCGCTGCATCCCTGTGCTTGAAAACTGGATTCTGCCTCCAGATCTGATCACTAAAACATTGTCTTCGCAAAGTAGAAAGAGAAAGGACACAAGTAAATGTTTCCCCATTGACTGACTCTTCTACACAAGTTCCAGAATCTTAAGGTAAGTAGCATTTTAAGACATTGATTACATAATTTGCTTCATTCCAAAAAGCTATTAAAATAAATCTTAAAAGCATTTGGCATAAGGACGAAAAGGTAAGAGGATAAAGAAAGAATAAAACATCAACAGAGGTTTGCCACACCCTATTGGGACTACAGGTCCTCATATCAAGGTGGACAATTCCCCTTCCTCAGAGATTTAGGCTCTCGAGGGCCGCTAATGCCACTGTTTTTGGTGGTGTCACTGCTGCTACCACAGGATTGCTTAGAGAGTGGGTAGTGAAAGAATATGAAAGGGAAAATATGGGAGGGCTAGAAAACTCTTTCTCAGTCTTCACGCCAGAACTAGAGTGCTTCTTCTGAAGCTCTTTCTGTCACCACTGATGTCTACTTCTGAGTTTCAGACTATACTGAGTCCAAGCCAGAAGAGACTGGAGACAAATTATGAGACCTTGAGTTATTGTCTTCCCCAAACTGTCTGCTTCTATTTACTTTTCAGAATACTCCAATTGAGTTTTGATGCATTTTTATCCAGACTTTACAGCTGCACTAGGAAGAAGAGACAGGATGGTGTTGTTTACTCCATCTCACCTAGAATTTTAACCTAGAAATGATATAGATGTTAAATGTAGGTATTAAAACCCAAAAGGGACCCGGAAAGCTATGAGAACTACTCAGGCTATCATAGAAAGGTCAGTGAGGAGTACTCTATGATGAGTGTTAGAGGGAGGGTGACCATCATCCAAGGTAGGACACTTTTTCAGAGTGAAAGAGAGTGCTATAATAATCATACTTGGACAATAGGTACACCAGGAACTAGAACATATGGGCACCTCAGAAGATGCGATAGGGAAGCAATACTCTTTTCTAATTATATTCCACCGAGTCCACTTGTTCTATTGCAATCAGTGTCCTGTACATAGGAAATTTGTTTGGGTTGTCTGCTTTGTTGTGGTTAACTGACATGTAAGAAATATAAATAGACCCCTGTCTCGAATGCTTCTTTGTTACGTTCAGTGTACCTAGCAGCCTGGAAAGAGTGTATTCTGTAAATATTAGAGCTGGCTATTTTTCCCTTTGTGTACGTGCTAACCTGAACCTCGATTTGATTTTCCATGAAACTAAGGTCAAAACGCTGGACTTCTGGATAGCTTGGTTCTAGCATTATCTATCTTAGGATAAACTGAACAAACTGGCCAAAAGAAGCCTGAGTCTTAAATCTCAGAGCATGGCTGGCAGGAAGGCCAGGGATCCTGGCCATCAGCAAAGCACAATGGCACAGTGACAGTGTGGGCTTCTCCTCCCTGAGGCCCTGCAATGATCCTTCCCACAAGAAACTTCCTCCAAGAATAATTCATACCCTTTAACTCATCGTTAACTTTATCACTGAAATTTCCAACAAGGATGTTGCTTGGTGCCAAAGCCACAGTGGTTTTTATGATGTGGGTGCCTCTGTGAAAAAGAGCAGAAGAGTGTTTCACACAGGCCCCAAGGCGACCATGACTTTTAGCCACTCTGAACTTGGATCACATCCAGATTGGTGGGTGTGACACATTGCATGTGAATGACTCCAGACATGGCTTTTATTTATTGTTCAGATGATAAATCATTTTATTCCTGCAGAGAAGACAGAGTATAAGAGTTTGATATTCATATGTGAGTGGAACACTATTTTAACTATAGGTTAAATTCTGGTAAAGGAAACACACTTACGAGGAGGAAATTGGCCTTGTCTATTAGAAACAGTTTCATGGCCCTGCAGCCCATCACTTCATTACTTAGGAGGACTTAAAGGGAGACCCCCAAATCAGAAGCACACAGGATCGCCAGCCTCAGCAGAAGGTTCAGGCTACAGCTCTGTTCACATTCCATTCTTGCTGCCGTTTAACCAGTGTGTATCCTTATTCCCCAGACTTAGCTGCTCTGCTGACTCTGGCCACTGCCTCTCTGCTTCGTGTGTCCCTGCAAGTCCATTCCTTGTCTCTTCATTGGCCTGATCGTTTTGGTCCAGTTGGTCTGTGCTTCCAGGGGCCCAGGGTAAGGATTTACACTTTCATACCTAACACAAAGATCTCTGGCCGACATCACACGGAGGAACTGAAATTAACTCTACTCTTCTTTCCAAGCCTATATCCTGGCACAGGCTGCATCTGCCCCCCAAAAAAGGGATTCTTCCTCTAGTTCATCCACCTAGTGTGGGCACTTCGCATAAGGACACAGTAGAAACCAACCCTAGCCCTGTCTATTCTGGGTCCTGTTAGTCTTTACCTTTTATGCTTTCTGTGCTCCAGAGTTGGTGGCTGACCATGGAGTAAGAATTGTCTTCTTTACAGAAATTCTTTGTTTCTAAGGCCAGATGTGATGGCTGACGCCTGTAATCCCAGCACTTCAGGAGGCTGAGGCAGGCGGTTCTCCTGAGGTCAGGAGTTCGAGACCAGCCTGGCCAACATGGTGGAACCCCGTCTCTACTAAAAATACAAAAATTAGCAGGGCATGGTAGTGCATGCGTGTAATCTCAGTCACAAGGGAGGCTGAGGCTGGAGAATTGCTTGAACCCAGGGGGCGGAGGTTGCAGTGAGCCAAGAATATGCACTCCAGCCTGGGTGACAGAATGAGACTCTGTCTCAAAAAAAAAAAAAAAAAATCACTCTTTAATAAAATAATATTTATTTGATTGCAAGTATACATAAAGTCATATGTACAATACATAGCAGACATGAAAGTCCCTAGCCATAAGGCAGAAGTAGCTGTATTTTCTGATTCTGCTCGGACCACTGGGAAATCTTAGGGGTGTTGTGTATCGAAAGTACCCAAGGTCTAGCGAATTCACTCGCCCTCTGTCCAGTCCAGGAGATCAAAGGCTCTAAACCACAGTCTCAGAACCTTTCCACTGTCCATCAAGCTTGCTCGCTGCTGGCAGCAGACTCTGAATTTCCTATCAGCGTGAACATTCACACACAGAGATGTGAGTTCTGTCCAGCAAAATCTCTATCCCAGGGACTGGCCGGGAGGGGGCGCCAGCGCTCATTTCATCATTCCTTAGGCTGGGAGCTCCTCCCAGTGGTTTCTGTTGTACTGAGTCCTTTCCACTGAAAAATCCTAGAGGTAATTCTGAGCTGGCTCCACGTGAATCCCTGAGAGTTTTTCACAGGCATGTGATAGCGCATTTTGGTCCAGAATCTAGAATTGGGAGGAACTGATTTTAAGCCTCTCCAAGTAACTGTGGGCAAAACCCTGAGAGCTTTTTTCACAAGGTGAGGTAGAGACTCTGGCTCTTGGAAGTAACAGAACTTAATTAAAATGAGTTTCAGTGTTTGATCATCCAAGGCAAGATTCACTGCTGCTTGCAGTTCAAAGATACTGGGTCCGTTGACGTAGTTGGGGCTCAAGATAAATATTCCTCTTCTGCTTCTCTTAATAATGCTCACAATGTCTTCTGCATACACTGGAAATAAAACATTTGATGATTTGCAATTGATATTGTTAAACCTTGAGTCAGAGAGGTCCTTGCAATGGATTCTCTTACATAAGGAGGAAGGGAGACATGTTTACTCTACCACTTACACTGTATCAGCTCTATTGCCAGTTGGAGATACGCTGCAGTGTCTAGTGACCCTCACCTTTACATTCCCTGCTTTGTGTTCATTCTCCCCCAGTTGGCAATTCCTCTAGGAATAAAGCCAACTGGAACTAGGTAAGCTGGGAAAATGGGAGCCATGGAACATCCCAGGTTCCTTGGTGGGGATATCTGAGGAGGAGGAGGCCAGCAGGACAGGCTGAGATCTGAACCTCTCAGACTGTCCAGGGCTTGGCCCAGGCCTGAGAAGTCTGCTTGACCGGTGCCGAGCGAGCTTTGTGGGAGGTAGAGTCACAGAAATCAGAGGGGCCACTAAATTGGGGTGACCGAGACAACCTTCAGCTGTGAAGCCAGCAGAGGTATCTTTGTCCTAGAAGGCCTGCCTAGGGCCCCATATCATTGTTTTCTCCTGCAGATGGATCTGTTTGATAATGGAGCACATCTCTGGAGCATATAGTTTCTGTATTGTTGCCCAAGATGTTCTAACCTCATGTAATCTCCCAGATCTACATTCCAAAAGAAAGAATGACAAAAAAGACTTGGCGATTGCATTGAACTGCCCTTTTTGCATTGTAGTTTTTCTTGACATGTTGGACTTACCTCCTCCTGGAGCCACATCTCTTTCAAGCAAACACAAGGTATATCCATATTTGTTTTCTAAAACATCAGGAAATAGGCTCAGGGCCAAGTGTTCTTCAGTCAGAGATGAAGTGGCCTCACTTGGAAAAGAGCTCCATTTTGCATAGGATACGAAAGCATCGAAATCCTTTTTATCTGAAGAATAGGAAAAATTATAAAAACAAAAGTCATTTACTTTTTATTTTTTACTGTCATGGTACACATACATATGCTTGAAACGTATGGTAAATGAATAAGAAATAAGATTTGGGATACTTACTACATTGATTTTAAAAATTCATTTCAAAATCATACCACTGAGTGCTATTGATTGTTCACCCCAAATTGAATTCTGATTTATGAAGCACTTTTGCATTTTCACTGAGGTTAGATCAAACGGCTGAAGCATTCTTTGATTAAATCACATGAACTCAGGAGTTTCTCTGCGCCTTCTTTGCACCTGCAGTGTTTCTGTCTCATTAGTCACACATCAAACAGGAGTCTGCCCCATCCAACATGATGGTATCCAGTAAGCAAAGTGCTGCTAACACCCAGCACATTGTATCCAAGGAGAAATAGTACTTCCTCGGATAATTGATGGCACATACGCCGATATGTGAATCCCCGTATGTAAAATAGAGACAATCATAACTCCTGGGCAGGCTGTTTCAAGGGTTTCATGAGATAATGTACATGAATTTCTTGGTGCCTGACTCACAGGAGGTTCAAGATAAATGTCCATTCCCCTCTATTCTAGATGGAAAACTGTATGTATAGAACTTGTTACAGGATATTTTCAAGGTCTCATATGCCTCTGTTGACTGTATTATAAAACAATGATTTATATAATATGTAAAATAATACAGTCAACAGAGACATATGAGACCTTGAAAATATCCTATATTTTCATATGCATGCTTTATAAATGCATATGATTACTGAGACTAAGGAACTAACTGGAAGAAGTAGAAAATCCCAACACTTAATTCACAGGCTTTGGAATGGGATACATCAGATTCGTATTCCAGCAGTTCCCACAATCCCTGTCAAAGTATTGTTACAAAATGGCAAACAATAGCGCTGATTGCTGGTGCTGTTTAGTAGTACACCATGTTCAAGGTGAACCTAAAAAGATGCCTCAGTGGATGGAAGTACCAGGTACCAAAAAGGAAGGTCCCAGAATCAATAGAGGAGGATGCCAAAGAGCTGAGTTTGGGAAACTAACCTGTGAAGCACCTCATTGCTCAAGTAGGAAGGACAAGAGCATGGCTGGCAGGTAGGTGCTGTGCTGTTTAAATGTGTAAAACACCATAGTTGCCTCTATTCCTTCCGTATCATGTGAAACCCCAGCAAACTAAAATTTTTCTATAACCTGGAAACTATATTTATTTAGTTATGAAATTAGAGAGTGGAGTATTAGATGATCTCTGACGTCTTCCAGAATTCAAACATTCTGCATCTCTAAAATTTTGGTTCCTCAGGACTAACTTCAAAGCAGTCATTTTGCTTAAAAATGTTAGGTTAGCCAACAGAGGGCGCTGCATCCCTGTGCTTGAAAACTGGATTCTGCCTCCAGATCTGATCACTAAAACATTGTCTTCGCAAAGTAGAAAGAGAAAGGACACAAGTAAATGTTTCCCCATTGACTGACTCTTCTACACAAGTTCCAGAATCTTAAGGTAAGTAGCATTTTAAGACATTGATTACATAATTTGCTTCATTCCAAAAAGCTATTAAAATAAATCTTAAAAGCATTTGGCATAAGGATTTCTAGTGTGTATTCTCAATAGCTAGTCTAAAGAAAGATGTGACTGATGCATTTCTTTTTTTTTTGGTTTTTTTTTTTTTTTTTTTTTTTTAGACGGAGTCATGTTCTGTCACCCAGGCTGGAGTGCAGTGGCGTGATCTCAGCTCACTGCAACCTCCCCTTCCCAGGTTCAAGTGATTCTCCTGCCTCAGCCCCCTGAGTATCTGGGATTACAGGTGCCACCAAGCCTGGCTGCATGTTGTATTTTTAGTAAGGATGGGGTTGCACCATGTTGGCCACGTTGATCTCAAACTCCTGACTTCAAGTGATCCGCCTGCCTGGGCCTTCCAAAGTGCTGGGATTATAGATGTGAGCCACTGCTCCCGGCCCCCCCCCCTTTTTTTTTTTTTGAGATAGGGTCTCGCTCTGTCATCCAGGCTGGAGTGCAGTGATGTAATCATAGTTCACTGCAGCCTTGACTTCCTGGGCTAAGATGATTCTCCCACCTCAGCCTCCTAAGTAGCTGGAACTACAGGGGGTGCACCACCACGCCCAGCTAACTTTGAAAAATTTCTTGTAGAGGCAGGTTTCACCATGTTGCCCAGACGGGTCTCAAACTCCTGAGCTCAAGCATTCCTCCCACTTTGGCCTCCCAAAGTGCTGGGATTACAGGTGTGAGCCACCACACCCAGCCTCCCATGCCGGTCTTTATTCACCCTTTCTTCCACTAGGGATCTGACAACTCCTCACTGAATTCCTAGTTTGGGAAAGCACTGGAGTTTGGAGGGCCCTCTCAGTAAGGTAGATAATTATCCCTGAAATCCAGCACAAAGGGATTCTGCTTTTATTAAGCGACAGAGTCATTTACTAAAACTGCAAACCTTCTAACCTTAGAGATTTCCAGGACTAGAAAAAAAAAAAAACAGAAGCAACGCTTCTATTCCAAAGAAGCAAACATCAATGAACATGATTATCCTGCCTCAAATATTGACAGGCACGTCATTGATAGTAATAGTGCTTGCATTTTACAGGACTTCTCACTTCTGGGGGCATTCCCACCATCTTCAAAGCCCTCATTTTACAGATGAGGCTAACTGAGGTAACAGCTAATGAGATCTCTTAAGCCAGACAACCTGTGCCCAAATCCCAAGCTCTAGTGCCTTCCAGTGGTTCAATTTTAGGCACATGACTTCCTGTCTCTGCCGGGCTGGTAGGATTGCTGTAACCATTAAAGTAGCTAACGCGCATGGCAGGCATACACTCTAGTCCTCAAGAAACAGCCATAGCCTGGCATGTGCTGAGCATTTACCATGTGCTGGGCGCCATTCTAAATATTTAATGTGGCTGGGCACGGTGGCTCATGCCTGTAATCCCAGCACTTTGGGAGGCCAAGGCGGACGGATCACTTGAGGTCAGGAGTTCAAGACCAGCCTGGCCAACAGGGTGAAACCCAGCAGTCTCTACTGAAAACACAAACAATAGCTGGGCATGGTAGCGCATGCCTGTAATCCCAGCTACTCAGGAGGCTGAGGTAGGAGCATTGCTTGCACCTGGGAAGCGGAGATTGCAGTAAGCTGAGATGGCGCCATTGCACTCCAGCCTGGGAGACAGAACAAGGCTCCATCTCAAAATAAATAAATAAATAAATACAGACTTAATGTGTCTTAAGAATACATCAATGAGCCCTCACAGCATCCTTTGCAATTGGTGCTATGACAATCCTGTTCTATAGATGAGGAAACAAAGGCACAGAGATGTTCAGTCATTTGCCCTATGACTTTAGGTTGGTTATACAGGGACTGCTTTTAAGTTCACCATGTTTCACAATAGCATTGCCTACAAGATTCCTGGCAACTGGAATGAAAAAAATAATTGTTTCTCCAACCTTCCTCAGTGTGAGGTCACTAGACTTGGAGGAAGGCCTCAAAACCTCAGGGGCATGACTTTATCCAGTGGGGACATTTCTTTCTTCAGCTCCTTCTTTATCCTCTGCCCTGGCTGGCAGGGGACATTTGAAATTCTTTTATAAGGTAACTCTGAGGAAACAAAGCCAAGGGGTAGTGATGGTATTTTCTGTTGTCCTGCTCCAAGTCAATTCCGAGAGGACAAGTCAGAGGGCCACACACGGAGGTAACCTTACCCCCCAGCGTCTCGTCCTTGCTCTGGTAGGTCCGGTACAGCAGCACTATTTCAATCCAGTGCCTGTAGAGGAGGGCACTCGCCACCAGCACGGCCACCAGCGTCCCGATGGTGCCAAGCAGGATGTACAGGAGCACCACTGTGGAGACAGGGCCGGTATGAAGAGACACAGAGGCAGTGGGATTGGACCACGACCATGTTCAGGCCGGCGCTATGGCCCACCTAGCACCTTTTCCAGCTCTATTACTTTGTCAAAATCATTGCCACTAGCAGCAGTTTTTGTGAATCTGGAAACCTCGTAAATCACACCATGGAATACTACTCAGCCATAAAAAGGAACAAAATAATGGCATGTGCAGCAACCTGAATGGAGTTGGAGACTTTTTTTTTTTTTGAGACGTAGTCTTGCTCTGTCGCCCAGGCTGGAGTGCAGTGGTGCGATCTTGGCTCACTGCAAGCTCCGCCTCCCAGATTCATGCCATTCTCCTGTCTCAGCATCCCGAGTAGCTGGGACTACAGGTGCCGCCACCATGCCTGGCTAATTTTTTTTTGTATTTTTAGTAGAGATGGGGTTTCACCTTGTTAGCCAAGATGGTGGATACCATTATTCTAAGTGAAGTAACTCAGGAATAAAAAACAAAACATCGTGTATTTTCACTTATAAGCGGGAGCTAAGCTTTGAGGACACAAAGGCCTAAGAATAATACAATGGACTTTGGAGAAGGAGGGAGAAGGGTGGGAGGGGAGTGAGGGATAAAAGACTACACACTGGGTACAGCGTACACTGCTCGGGTGTCAGGTATGCCAAAATCTCAAAAATCTAAAGATTTTAGATAAAGAACTTATCCATGTAACCAAAAACCACCTGTACCCCCAAAACCTATTAAAATAAAATTTTAAAAAATCACATTTTGAGTACTGTCTTACAATAAACACTAGAGACCCCAGGGGAATGGGCAGTTCCTGATCAGGATGGCCTAGGAAACTTATCATATTCATTTTATTTTTTTACCCTCGTAAACTTCCACACAATCCATTTGCATCTCTCTCATTGCATATTGTAAGTTATTTTCCTGTATTATCATTCCTACTGCAGCCTACATTTCCTGAGACCAGGAGTCCCATCTGGCTTACCTGACACGAGGGATCTCCTGCATACTCCCATAGGGGAAAACCCCCTTAACAGAGGGTTTACTACGGGCCAGAACACACTTGGTCTTGTTTAAGCCTCAGAAACATTCAAATCTGCTTATAACTATAGTTACCTATTAATTAAAGGAAAAAATGATATCAATTTCAACTCTGGGCATCTTTTTAAAGAAATTTAAATGCTATTCCTTACCTAGAATTTCTACTCCAGCTTTAAAAAAAAAAAAAAAAAATCCATGATATAGACACACCATTTTGAACAATGAACAAGATTACTCCTTCTCTCTTCCATTCTCCATTCATCAGAACATGAACCCATCATGTTCTCTGGATTTGGAAGCCAGGAAAGAAAAATTGGAAAGGGAGCTAGGTCTTAGCACAATGCCTGCCACTCTGGGCACACCCTGTAGCTATTGTAGAATGAATGCATGAATGAATGAGTGCATGAAAGAGTTGCTTTTCCAACACAGCCTCCCAAACGCAGAGTATTACTTAAGAGAACTAGCTCTAAACCAATCATATGCAGTTTACTAGTTGTGTGGCTTTGGTCAAGGTATTAAGTGGGTTGACACAAGGAAAGTGCTTAGAACAATGTCTGTCGTCTAGAAAATGTAATCGCTGTCATCATTATTATTATTCTCTAGGAAAACTCCTCCCCTCTCAAGTGGAGGCAGTTTCCTGCCTCCTGGGCAGCCTCCTGGGCTTACCTCCTCTCTTTTCCTTCAGTTGGACAGACTGGGTTGTGTTTCCAATGGAGTTCTGGACAAAGCAAACAAACTTCCTGCGAAGATCACGCTGAGTGACTTTTTCCAAGATGATATTACGCTCAATGATTTCATCCTTTAAAGTGGATTTAATACTGAGAAAGGAGAAAAAAATACCGCTCCATTCAGTAACATACATTAGCACCCATTTGCAGCATTTGGAATGCGTATAAGCAGCCAACAGTTTGGCTTTTAGAGAACCGTGAGATCAATAGTACAAGAAGATACCACGAGAATGTAAGATGGTCAAAAAGGTCTCATTCTTGACTCAATTATTGACTCTTCTAAGCATTCAAGCTAAGACATTATTTACTTGTGAGACTCGTCTGACCTTCCTTACTCTAAGAATTCCCCTTGAGAATAGATAATAACAATACCTTAAGAAAAATATTTAAAATGACCAACTCCTACTGAAGGTTTACCATGTGTACCAAATATGGACTTCTTCTGTGCACCTAATATTGACTTTAATGCCCTCCATTCCTCACCTCCCAGGAGCCCTAGAGTATAATAGGATCATAATGGCCTTGGCCAGCGACAAGGACACGGCAGAGAAGGTGGGTGAGCAGCCCCAGACCACACCGCAGGGAATGGGCAGCCTGATTCCTGGGCTTGTGCCACACTGCGCCACCCAGGAAGTTGGGAGTCTTGGCATTTATTCACAATTTGAGTTCTCTGAAGTTGCCGATCTACAATCCATCTTTGTGTTAAGAAATTTTGTGTATGTGGATGATGTTTTAGGCTGTGTTGCTCTGAGACCACGATGCCAGCTCCTATTCACTGAGTGCTTCCTACCTGTCACACATTGTGATAGGCATAACACCTCTGCTGTGACCAGCCCTCCCAGTGAGCTTGCAAAGTGCCATAGATTATCAATGGGGTGATGGAGGCTCACAGGGGCTAAGGTTCATGTTGCCACTAGATAGAAAATGGGTTTAAACCCAAGGGTGGGTGATGCCAAAGCATACGCTCTTGACTACACTCTCCTACTGTGAATTCTAATGCAATATCAGCTTAAGATGGGCCCCAATGACCTTCCTGATCTTAGAAATTCTTGCTAAATTTTATTGTTGTGACCAAAATCTGTTCTGTACTTTTGTTGTAATAATATATGCTTTTCAAAATGATATTGCATTTGCTTATTTATATCTATTAAGTATCAAAAGAAGGTGCTTAATGTATGGACTCTTACTCTGGGTCACATCTTGGAAAAATCAGGGAATTCATCCTTAAGAGATATGTCTGATTGGACATCATTGGATCCAGGACCTTTGATCCTTCTGGGGACTGGAGGTCAACTTTTCTTGTGATTGGATAGCTCCAGATAGCTAGGGTTTTCTACTGGCCAAAATAACTCACCAGTAAATTCTAACCACTGATCTGGGTTTTGTGCCCCAGAGGGCAAGAAACCAAGTCAAATTTCTCAAACAACGTAATAGCTCCCAAGGATTTCAAGACAGAGAGCCCTCCTCTGATCCTCTTTTTCAGGGTTAAGTTGCTTCAGGTATTCATTCAATGGCCCTGTGCACTTTGCATTTCTGTACTTTTATTTTCACCACTAGTCGGTGCTCGTGGTTACACCATCGACTGTTTATTTTAGACGTTTCTAAAGGTAAAAGTAGCTCTTCTGAATTGCAGAGAACAGAATCCGTGAGGTTTTTTCTTACCTTTTTGCCTCGGGTACTGAGACTTCCCACTCTAGGTCAGCATCTTTGATGTACCATTTCATGACAGGGTTAAAGACCCTTTCAAAGCCAAATCGTGCTTTGCAGCTAATAGTTAAAGGCTTTCCTGAAAATGAAGAGACCAGAGAAAACAAGAAGGAAGCTGGTGAGAACACTTTGTCCTGTTTGGGAGGAAGATGTCGCCAGGAGCTGTTTCCTGATGCAGTCAGGTTTGCAGGTAGAATATGTGTGCCAGAAATAATGAAACGTCTACATATCTCTCATTCAGAAATGCATAAAACCAGGTACATTTGTTCTAATGGGCAATCCTTCTATCTCAACCATATGACCGTATGTTCTTAAAATGAAGATGAGCATGATTATATCACTAAGGGTTCTTATGTGGATTGAGGGAGACACTAAAAAAATCTAAGAAAATGAGGAATTTCTGAGATCAGCCTGGTCTTCTGCACTACTATTGAAGCACAAGGTGTGTCCATAAAGACAATTTTACTATCCAGTATTTGTTTATTCAGTAAAAATCATAATGTTATTGTAGCACGTGGTTTAAATAAAAAAATTATTTTGATATTAAGCAACTTTTCTGAACAATTCACTATGGATGGACATGCATATTATGAGACTTTTTTCTACCCGTTTTTTTCCATGAGGAATATTCAGATATGCTCTGCCTCAAACTTCATATTTAACCATGAAATGATTAGGAGCTCCATTTGAAAACTCATCTTTGCACCTTAATGTTTTTCCACTGGTAATACCTTATAATTCACTAACACATATGTAACTTGACTATTTGAATTAATCTAATTTTTTCCTCCTTCTTTCCTCCTTCCTTCCACTCCTGTGATGTTGAGCATACAGCTAGTGCTATTTCTAGAGTCAGAACACACCACTCCTGCCACCTAGTGATCTTGTATCATAATATGTAGTTTTACATTTCTTTCTAAAATAATAAATCTTTTAGTAGCATTTTAGAAAATATTTATATTATTAAAAGAAAAGCAGCATTTTATTTTAAATACAACAATTCTTATTTGTCTATGTAGAAAGACAGAGATGTTATTGAAGTTGACAAAATAAAATGAGACCACAGGGAAGTCGATTTCTCCTCAACCCCAAAGAGGACACTACTTTGGAATACAAATTGTTTGAGCAGGGGTTGTAGAATTCTACTACAATTCTCTTAAAGGCCAGACTAAAGGTCATATTCGTAAGAGTTAATGTTACTCAGGTTGGCGAATTTGTAGTCATAACTGATGGACCTACCCAACACATACAAAACCACCTGTTCCTGGGGGAAGTTAAGAAAGGATAAAAATCTATTGATCATGTTTTATGCTCCAGCCACTTAACATACATTGTCTCATTATTTCTGAATATATTTTTTTTCTTTGAGATGGAATCTCGCTCTGTCACCCAGGATGGAGTGCAATGGCGCAATCTCGGCTGACTGTAACCTCCGCCTCCCAGGTTCAGGTGATTCTCCTGCCTCATCATCCTGAGTAGCTGGGATTACAGGCACCCACCCCCACACCCGGCTAATTTTTGTAGTTTTAGTAGAGATGGGGTTTCACCATGTTTGCCAGGCTGGTCTCAAACTCCTCACCTCAAGTGATCTACCCACCTCAGCCTCCCAAAGTGCTGGGATTACAGGCATGAGCCACCACGCCCAGCCTGCAATATAATCTTTTAGGGTCAGTTTTATGATAGCTATTTGCAGATTTAAGTACTGAGGCTTAAAGGATAAAGTAACTGTGCAAGGTCACAAAACTAGTCAATGGCTGAGTTAAAATTCACACCCAATTCTGTTTGACTGGAAATCCCAATGCTGTTTTCCTTCTATCACACTTAGGCCTGCTCCCAGCAGCACAATGTCGTTCAAAGGCAATGAGGCCCAGCTTACCAAGTTCTACTTCCAGTGTGCTCTCGACAGGATCCAGAATATCTGGTTTGAGTTTAGTGTCTCCCACTGAAAGATGAAAACAAAGATTATTATTTGTATTGAGAAGTCTGAAGGCCTGCTTGATGAAGACTTGGGTGCACAGCCACACTTTGATCTAAATGTCTTAGGGTTCTGTCTTCAAATTTTACCCATTATCTGTAAGTTTAGGAATTCCGGTTTCCATGTAAAAAGCTTGCCCCCTAAAATGACTGCCACATCAGGTTGTGGGTGCTGGTAGAACATTAGTTGTTAATTGATCCATATCCTCCTGCATGTATTTTCTTTCACACTAATCCTGCCCCTTGCAGACTTGAGCTCCTATCCTTGTCTTTTCCTACAAGATTTCTTTGTGGTGCCATCTGGCTGAGTAATCGAACCAAAAGGAGAATCTGCCCGAGAAACTGTGCAAGTCAAGCATATCTGAGTCCACCTCTCCATCCTTTAACTCATGGTTTATTTCAAAATAAAGAAGAGTCCAGTCCTTAATGAACAATTTTATCAATCAACTTCTTGCCACAAACTTTCAAATATGCCTCCACTGTCAAACTTCCTCCTGAAGCTGTGTCTTTTTCTGGATAAAGAAACATTCAGGGTCTTTGCTGTTGACATCATCTACTTTTACTTCTCAGAATCCTCCTTCTCCCCTTTGCACCATCTCAGTCCTGTATTTTTAACTTGTCTCTCTTTCCTTCTCTCTCTCTTTCTCTGGGCTTCTTCTCATCACCATTTATTCACGCTCAGTCTCATCATCCTAAAAAAGAGAAAACACTCCCTGCCTTATGTCTCCAGCTTCACTTATTCTCCTTCCTTCCCAGCCAAATTCTTGAAAGGCAGTTCTCTGTGCTAATTCCCTCCACCCGCTCACCTCCTATGGAACCTGATTTCCGCCACCATCATTCCACTGAAACTGCTTTAGCCAAACTCACCAGTGCCACCCATGCGCCTAAATCCACTGGGCATAATCAAATTTCATCTACTTTACCTCTTAGCAGCATTGGACACTGTTGGCCATGCTCTCTTTGAAACCCTCTCTTCTTTTGGTTCCATGTGCCTGTACTCTACTGCTTACCTTCAACCGCTATATTCGCTTCTCTGTGCCTGTCCCTTCCTCTGTGTCTCTTTTAACTATTAGTCCTCTCCTAGTGTTCTTTCACTCCTCCTGATACCCCTGGGTATTAAGTTTACCCTCTAGGCCTCTTCCCTATGAAAGGTCTTGGTGCCTGAGGTTACGTCTTTTCTACCTCATCAATTTCACTTTCTTTGTTGCTCTTCTCGCCACGCTTCCACTGATATTCACTTGCTGATGTATGCTCCCATCCCCTTTGAGGATTGTCTTCCTCTTTTCCACCTCTTCAAGCATTCCCAGGTTCAGCTCTAGGCCCTTCTGTCTCTATACTCACTTCCTAGGTGATCTCATTCAGTTCTTTGGCTTCAGATATTATGTAAAAATTGACCATCTTCACATTCATATCTCCAGCCCTAACTTCTCCAGACTGGCTTGTCCGAATACCTACTTGTCATCATACCTTGGATGACTAAAAGTCCTTTTAAGCCTAATACTTAATCTCCTCTTCAAATGCTCTTTCCCTTCAGCTTTTTCAGTCTCATTAAATGGTGCCACCATTCCCTAACTTATCCAGGGCAGAAAACAAAAACATCCTTGATTCTTCTCTTTCTCCTACCTTTTACGTAAAAACCATCATCATGCTCTGTTGACTTATGAGTCCAGCCACTTCTCATCACCTCTACTAGGTCTATTCACGGTACAAGCAGAGGCATGGTTTAACCATGAGTCAAGTCTGCTGCTCCATGACTGTGCTTGCTCTCATCCTCTGTATTGATGTGCTCTGTCAGCAGATTCCCTCCTTGACCAGCTCAAAGGCTGGCTTGTATCCATGACACCTGCTTTCCTTCTTCCTTGCTCCCGAACACCAAATCATTTAGATGTACCTCCTAAACATTTCCAAAGTCATCCACTTCTCTCCATTCCCTCTACCACTCCCTAGTTCAGATCCCCATCAGCAACTGCCTGCTTGACCACAGAACTTCCTAACTCTTCTCCCTGCCTCCATTCTTGCTTTTAAAAACCCACTTCCAACCCAGCAAACAAGGTGATCTATCTTGAATACAAGTTCAGTCATGACATTCTCCCACTTAAAACCCTCAATGCCTCCCCATTGTTCCTTCATAACACCTCACACGTATTAGAAGAGTGTGATGTCAGTCCTGTTCCCAGGTGCTCTCCTGTATCTCCTGGACATCAGCTCTGCTGCTGCCTCAGTCTGGAATGGAAGCTCCCCCACCCTTACTGAACTGGTGTGTCCTCATCCGTCAGTTCTCACTTGGAGCGGGCTTCCCCAGGTTAGGTCTGGTGGGCCTCCATGTGCCCATAGTGCTCCTTTCTTTCACTGCACTGTATTGTAATAACTTGCCTCACCTTTGTCTTCTTCCCAAAATGGAAAGCTCTTGGAGGCCAGATAAAGCATCTGGACACTCATTCTTGCAGCCTTAGCTCCAAGCCTGATGCACATTAGGTGTTCAGTAAATATTTGTGTGGAAATGAATAAATGCGAGAGTGAATGACTAAATGAGGAAGACAGGGATGATGACAGAGAGGGCTTGACTGAAATAGCTGCAACAGATATTGCAAGGTGTCCCTCGGGTGAGAGGAAAGCAGATTATGCCATGAAGAATTTGAGGAGCTGAGTGATGGCTGAATAAAAGTACAATTACACATCACTTGGAGGGGGAAAGTGGTGTGAGTGGGGTATTCACATTCTAACTTGTCTTTCAAGGAGCAATCTAATAATATAAAATGAAATCTTATCTATATAAGATCTAATCTAAAGTAATATAAAATAATTCTGAATGCTAGAGGGTGCAAGGAGCAGGAGAGTTTCACTCGGTCTTGGGGTGCTCCGTGTGGTTTGTCTCTTGTAATAAAAGAAGATTAATATCTTAACTAAGAGCTACATCAACCACCCTGTAGCTCTTTGATATAAAGCATGAGTGACTGGCTCTTTTATGTTTTGACTTCTTAGACCACATTTAAATTAATTCTATCACCTAGTTGATTCAAGCTGATACTTGCGGATCTAGTAAGAATGACCCAAGGGAAAGGTTAGGGCAAAAATAGACAAGTTGCAGAAGAAAGTCAATGAATCACAAAACATGTAACAAGATGCTCAACCTCATATTAGCCAGGGAAGTATACTATGGAGTAGAAAACAACAAACAAAAAAGAAGCTCCACTTAATACCAGTCATAAAGTCTGATAACACCAAATATTATTTGGGAATAAAGGGCATTTTCTGCTAATGGGTGTGTAAATTGACAGACCAATAATTTAATATAATACCAAGTGTTTATGACACAAAACACATTTCATAACTGAAAACAATATTCTATTTTATTAATAGATGCATACCTACATAGAAAAAGTATAAAAACATAAATGGAAATGATAGACATGACAAGACGTGACTATACTGCAGAAACAAAGGCCTGGACGAGAATGGGATCATAGACGTCAAGTTGTCTTTGCAATGTTTTGTTTCTTTAAAGAAAAAAAAATTATGATTTTAAGCATGTGGGAAAATTGTAACATGGTTAAAACTGGTGATAGGTACCTGGATGTCACAATATTTCTGTGTGTGAAATGTTTAATACATTTTTTAAATTTATTACAAAAGCAAATCAGGGACGTATTCATGGACAACCCAACTTGTGAGAATTTGAACCTGTTTCAGAACTTAGTCTTCCTTGGGGGATGGTAACTTTGATGTCTGCCCACATGAAAGGTTTTACGTGATTACAAGTGTATGACTATCCTTTTTTTTCCCTAAGAGGAAAAACTAAGTCAAAAGAAGATAATTTTAATTTGGCTCTCAGATCTCAATCTTGAGATAAAAATCTCACTTACCAATGGTTCTCACTTGAACAACAGCTCTGACCGTCCACGAACTTGCTGTATCCGACTGAGTGTAATCACATACGTATGTGCCCTGGTGATAGACGTAAACTTCATCCACTGCGATTCGGTTGCTCCTTGTCGTAGAGAGGAGTTTTCCATTCTAATCCAAAAGATATTTTAAGCAGATAATTTTTGCCATAGAAAAACTGTATGAAATACATACCTAAAGGAAAATCTTACAAATTTGAACAGGGAGGAAGAAGGTCAATCCAAGATAAGGGTATCCCATAAGCTAGGAAGACATCGTGTTCAAAAACTGTACTTGTATATTTGAAACAAGAGGCATTTTCTAATACAATTGCATATGGGTAAAAATGAGAGAGTCGAACCTCCAAACCTGATCAGCCCCTAAAGAGCTTCCCAGAGCATGCGTGACTTGGAGCCCTGAGAGTATTCTAGAAGACATGTAGTGTTCTAAGGGCTGACACCAAAAAGAATTTTTTAATGTGTGTGTGTACACATACACATACATAGATACACACACACACACATACACACACACATATATATAACATATATTGTATATATTTACATATATAAACAGATACATACTTATAAATAAATATATATATTATACAAACAGAGCTTCTGGAACGTGAGTGACTTTTTTCTCTCTCTGACAAAGCTGGTAAGTGAGAGCACTGAGAATCAGTCTCATTTTTTTCTGGTTCTGAGTTTCACTTTCTGATTGAAGAATTTCCCTTCCACTTTGCCTGCCTACTGGTAGAAGCTGGGATTCCCCCACGCCACATCCCTAGTGTATTTCCTGTGGTCCAAGAAGGAATTTCCAGCAGGCTGGAACGGAGACTAAGGGTGGGGACAGACCGGCCAGAGAAGGACAGCTGTGGACAGGAAGCAAAACAAGGCCAAGAGGTGGTGGTATACAAGGCTAAATATACACCAGATGATCTCAAGAATCAGGAATTTTTCCAAAGGAAGTTTTAAAACACAGGGGGAAATTCAAAGATAAAGCTTCAGAGGACGCAGTGATAACATACAAAGATCGGAATTTGGGAAAGAGGCATGTCATAAATCACATGAGAACGTGATGGAGGGAGGACACAGAGCCATCCCTAAGACCTTACCTAAGCCACAGGGGAGGATGGGGAATGAATAATACATCGTTTTACCCACAAAAAGGTAAGTGAGGCTTAGTGTGTGTCATTAAGACTTTATGAAATGGAACTTAGAGGAAACATCAAAGAAAAGAAATTAGGGAGAAGCAATTTATGCCAAGGATGATGGGAAACCCATTCTGATAATACAATTACAGATCATCCTCATAGGACAAAGAGAGGCTAATGCAGCTGCACAGGGAACTCTTGGTTTTGCTCATATGTGAAGCAGTCATGAACCGAATATGGAAACAGGCACATCCACCACTGTGAATCTGGATGAATAGTGTCCGTAAGTCTTCAAACAAATGGAGGCATTAAAAAAAAAAAAAAAAAAAAGCTGAAGACACTGCAAAGGGCTTTTAAAGGTATGTGTAAAGCAGGGAGAAGAACACAGTTATTATACTGCAATATTATCGATTTCTTATACTACCCATCAGTACAGCTACTGAGCATCATGCACACTGTGTTATTCTATGGGAATGGTACTTCCTGGATTTGGGCAACACAGTGGGGCTCCTAGCTGGGCTTCCACTACCTAGTCTGCGAAGACTCCAAAGACCTGCATTAATTTCACTCTCCTCCCTGGCCCATTCTCCCTGGGGCCTTTCAGGTTTTCCATGTCCATTTTAATGTTCCTTATCATAGGCTCATTGTGTCCAGGTCTGTATTCATCACAGCTTTCCTGCCCCTAATTGAATTTACTAGTACTATCTCTAACTTGATAAATACTGTGAACATATGTTGAGCCAGAAAGACTCCAAATATTCTACTCATCTGTTTTACACACACTCCCAGTCAAAGCTTTTAATCTTTCATTTTATTACATGAAAATATCACTAGCATCTGCCACCTTCTTCCTGTTTCCACTTCTTTCTGTCCTGTCCTGGATCAGGACTCACACTCGTAAAGTTCAAACACATCAACAAGGTCCCCGTAACCATCATAAGCAACCGACAACCTTTATTTCCATTCTAGTCCTAATTAAACCACTCAAGAACTCTCATATCCCATCACAGTGAGCCATTCAGTGTGACCATTCACTGAATATCCCCTTTGCTTTTATGTTTCTGTTGTCTATGCTGCTCTTTCCTGTTAAGTGTAGTTGCAGTCTTTTGCCCCAGTTATCAACTAACAACATTCTATTGATAGATTTTTTTAAACTAATATTTATCTTCTAAGGGGAATGGAGTATGTTATGGAAATTATTGATAATGGGCTAGATGTCAATTTCTAGTGAAAGTCTTGAATTAATTATTTAACAGTTGGTTTATGAACCCTTAGAAAAGGAAGTGATGGTTAATATCAGCCAGCTTGCATTTGCTAACAACAATCATATCAAGGTAATCTCATTGTTGCCCACAATTGAATAGACTAGAGGTTCAGAGGAGCACAGCAGACACAGAGTATCGTTGCTATAGTGAGTCATTTGAAAAATATTCCCATGATCTCTCTGTTAAACCAAAGGTACATTGTGAACTGAACGATCAGATACAGAGCATTTGAGTGCCCTTTTAGTTAATTAAGCAGCACCTTGCGTTGCGGATGAATGAATCATATGCAACTAGAAGGATCAAACTGGAGTCAACAGCAGAGCACTCTCTCCCTGGTGCTAGCCTGGTCAGTGGTTTTAGCAGGGGCTTGAGTGAGAACATATCATGCTGATCTCATCTACGTGACTCACAAACCTGCATGCGTTGGCTAATATGTCAGCATTCAAAATCAGAATTCCAACCTCTTGACACGTAGAATGAACTAAAAACGACAAATTATCATTTAACAGAAGTAAATATAATATCATGAACATAAGTTACAAATTCTACTCCACAAACAAAAATAGAGAGAACTGGCTTGATTTCAGTTTTGGTGAAAAGACGTGGCTGCCAACTCAGAATAAATCAATCATATCATGGGGCTGTCCCAAAGCTAAAACAACCGTGAACTGTGGCAATATTCTGTTCTGAACAAGGAAGGCAATGCTTCCTCTGTTTCAGTGTTGGTTAGACAGCGTATGGATGATTGTTTTGAACATGTGTTAGAAAGCTGTCCAGACCTTCAGAGTTCTGAAATGTTCATCGTGAGAATAATCAAACAGGCCAATGTTTCAACCCTGGAAACAGTTTTGAGAAATATAATCTAAATTATCTTCTTCCTGTTTAGAAACTCATTAAATTACCTTCTTCTTTATTTAGAAACACATTCATCTTTGTATCTAGCCAGTCTCACCATGCTCACCAGTTCTCCACAGCACTAGGCCCACAGGATGCCAACAGGTGCCAGTTACAAGAACCAGGAAATAAGAAGAAGTATCAGGTATAGGTACAAAACTTCTTTGTGGTTGGCATGATGGCTCACACCTGTAATCCCAGCACTTTGAGAGGCCGAGGCAGGTGGATCACCTGAGGTCAGGAGTTCAAGACCAGCCTGGCCAACATGGTGAAACCCCATCTCTGCTAAAAATACAAAAATTCGCTGGGTGTGGTGGCCCACACCTGTAATCTCAGCTACTCAGGAGGCTGAGGCACAAAAATAGCTTGAACCCGGGAGGTGGAGGTTGCAGTGAGCCAAGATTGTGCCAGTGCACTCCAGCCTAGGCGACAAAGAGAGAGATTCCATCTCAAAAAACAAACTTCTTTGTGGTTGGCATGATGGCTAACACCTGTAATACCAGCACTTTGGAAGGCCAATGCGGGAAGATTGGTTGAAACCATGAGTTCAAAACCAGCCTGAGCAACATGGTGAAACCCTTTCTCTACCAAAAAATTTTAAAATTAGCTGGGTGCAGTGGTGTTTGCCTGTAGTCCTAATTACTTGAGATCCTGAGGCTGGAGGATCACTTGAGCCCAGAAGTTCAAGACTGCAGTGAGCTGTGATTACACCACTGCACTCCAACCTAGGCAGCAGAATGAGATCCTATCTCTAAAACAAACAAACAAACAAACAAAAGCTTCCATGCCACATAGGGCTTAAAATCAACCCAGCAGTCATGTCAGAAGTGTGGCAAGAGAATGTGGCATGAGTGAGATTGTCTTAAACCACCAATGGAAATGTTATTCAAGGCGCAAGTCCTACTAACAGGAGGTCACAGCAATGTCATCAAAACTCATATCTCGGTGCCCTAGGCCAATACAGAAGAGATTTTCCTACTGCCCTTCATTATAATTTTGACTTGTGTCAAGGATTTGCTTAGCTGAAGGTCATAAAATGCTGTTACATTAAATGTAACTATTATTTATTTAAGATGAAGTCTGTTTATGCCAAGGCTGTTTTTTCATTACATTTTTAGAAATTAGAAAAATACATAGAAAAAGTTAGTAGAATAAATAATAAATAACTCACTTTAATTCTAACTTTCTCAGTCATTAAATATTTTAATTAATAATCTCCAAGCATGGTGACCCAGCCGGGCCCCAGCACTTTCCTGCAGCCTTCCCCGGGCCAGGAGGCAAGCACAGGTCAGCAATTATCGGCAGAGGGAGCAGCTGGCCCCACCCAGACCCAGAAGGTGAGTAGCAACCCAATCAAGCCTCAATGCTCTGCTTAAGGCTATCCCCGGCCCAGAGATAAGATCAAGCCCACACACATCTGTGTAGCCTAGCTTCTGCCCCTGCCCATCCCAAATTGCTAAGCAGCAATCCCAGAGAACTCACTTTGCCTCAGAGCCTGGCATGTCGTCCTGCCGAACTACACAATCTAACAACAGTATTTCTCAGCCAGATGTAGGGCATTTGGGTACCCTTTTAGTTAATTAAGCAATTCCTTCATGTTGTGGGTGAATGGAAGACAGAAGGGTATTGCTCTGTGACTGCCTCTGATCAGGCAAAGTTGTAGACTATCTGGGAAGACAGTCTGCAGCTTTGCTTGATCAGAGGCAATCACAGAGCCCAGCCGGCGACTCAACCTTACAATAGAGTTCAGGAAGTGGTCTCACTGGAACGTGAAGCACAGAAAGCAATTCCACTTGACCTCAGTGCCCAGAAAACAG